TCCATGAGGATTGAACTACACTTTTTTCAAATGCCTTTTAAACTTGATATTTTGACCTCTTTCCATGAATCGTGAATGTTCTTAGAAGCACCTAGAATGGCAAATCCTTTTGAGAAGTTTTCAGTTTACTTTACCCAGATCCATCACTATTGATGCCAACTTTAGTCTTACAAAATGTATTTATTAAATAATAAAGACTTACCAGGGCACAATTGTACACATCTTTAATTCCAGAAACTCAGCTGGCTGAAGCAAGAGGTAGATCACAAGTTTGAGGCCCGTTTGAGCAACTTAGTGAGATCCTGTCTCAAAACAAAACAGAAATTTAAAAGCAAGGGCTGGGAATATCACTAAGAGAACTTCCCTGGGTACAATCCCTAGTACCACTCAATACATACATATTTTTGTACTTAACAGTCAGAATTCTTCCTTGATCCATGGGCTACAGAATGAATGCTTTTTTAAACAGGCATGCAAACATTAATCTCATTGTACATCTGCGTTAGAACTCTGATATGACTAGGTGCATTGTCAATGAGCAGTAATATTTTGAAAAGAAACTTTTTTTTTTTTTTTCTGAGCGATAGGTCTCAACAGTGGGTTTAAAAATATTCGGTAAACCATGTTGTAAACAGATGTGCTATCATCCAGGCTTTGCTGTTCTACTTATAGAATATAGTCAAAGTAGATATAGTGTAATTCCTAGGGTCCCTAGGATTCTCAGAATGGTGAGTACTGACTTCCACATAAATTCACCAGTTGCATAAGCCCTAGGAGTGTCAGCCTGCCTCTGAAGCCATGCATTGACTTCTCTGTAGCTATGAAAAACTCCTAGATGTCACTATAAGACTGTTTCATCTACATGTAAAATCTGTTTAATGTAGCCACCTTCATCTTCATCAATAATCTTAGTTAGATCTTCATACTGCAGCTACCACCTTGGAATCTGCTTTGATTTTTATATTTGGAAGATATCTTCTTTCCTTAAACCTCATGAGCCCACCTGTGCTAACTTCAACCTTTTCTTACATCCCTTAGCTTTCATAGAATTGAAAAGAGTTAGGGTCTTGCTCTGGACTAGGTTTTTGCTGAAGGGAATATTGTGGCTCATTTAATCTTCTATTCAGACCATTAAATCTTTTTTCCATATTCAGCATTAAGGCTATTTTCCTCCTTTATTCACTTATTCATGGAAGCAACACTAATAATTTCCTTCAA